GTTTGCTCCCCCCAGAGTTTTATCTTCACGACTGTGGTGTACTTCGGGCCCCTGACCTGCTCCATCATCACCACCACCCGCAAGTTCTTCACCATCCTGGCGTCCGTCATCCTGTTTGCCAACCCCATCAGCTCCATGCAGTGGGTGGGGACAATCCTGGTGTTCCTGGGTAAGTCTGGGAAGCAGATCCCTGGGATCCCTCTGTCCAGCTGCTCAAACACCACCTCCCTGTGTCAGAGCCCTCGAGGGTCGTGGTCCCTCACACCCCCAGCAGCTCCGGGGTGTCCCCACGCCGGGGGACTCCTGGCCAAAGCATCATCACTTTGGGGTAGCAAGCTGCTTTCTTCCCACCCAGAACTCCTTGTTTGGGGAACACAAAGCATTTTTCGGTACATGTGGCTCGTTTTCTGTCTTTGCAGGGCTTGGCCTCGATGCCAAATTCGGGAAGGGAGTGAAGAAAACGTCGCATTGAGGAGGTGTTCAGTCGGTTGATCCCCGCGGATGGAATGAACTTTTAATTTATTGTCTTGTACCTCAAAATCTGTTCAACTGGACTCAGGAGAGGGAACCAGAAGGAAACTGTGTGGAATCTTTTGTTGGTTTGTTTTAGTTTTTTAATTCTAAGTTGTCTTACAGATGTAACTCTTTAATTTGAAGTGTAATTAAGCTTTTTTTTTTTTTTTTTTTTTTGTTGGTTTTCTGTAATCGGAGCCAAGCAGCAGCAGCAGGAAATTCTTGCCTTAACAGGAAAAAAACCACAAATCCTTCATATCTTTATTAAAGAAAAACAGCCAATGGCCACTTTTCCCGAGCTTTTGATTCCGGTTGGTTTTGGGTTAACTCAGAATTCTGGGAGTTCTTTGGTGCGGCCTGGAGTGATCCCTGGATTAAGGGTTGGAGAAGAGCCCCTGTGGCTGTGAGGTTTTTTCCCTGAGGGAGTTGGAGCAGCCAGTGGGACGTTCTTCCATTGGGAGATCCCAATATCCTTCCTCCCAGGAATTCCTGGCACTTCCCAGGGAACCTCTTTAACCAGTGGGGCCCAAATTCATTCTTTCCCCCCTCAACCAGGACCTTCTGCTGCCAGACCTGCCCAGCTGAGGGGACAGCAGTTAATTACAGCCTTGCTTAATTGGGCCCAGGTTAATTAACAGCATCCCGCTGTGGAGGGGAGGAGTTGTTATCCAGGGATGCTCCAGAGCAGGATTCTCCAAGGAGCAAACTTTCCACATGAAAGGCTGTTCCTGCAGCTGCCTCTTGCTCTCCATCTGCTGGGGGGTTTGGCCTCTTGTCCCTCCAGATGGGACCTTGATCTCCTTCCTGAGCCGCTCCTGGAAGTCTCTCCCTCTCCATCCCTGCTTTCCCCACCCCTCCCGTGTTCCCTCCAGCTGGGCAAAAAGTCTTGGAAATCATCTCGGGCAGAATTAAACCCGAGGCTGGGAAAGGGTTTTAATCTGTCACTCTTTGCTGTCTTAGATTTGTCTTGAAGTGCTAATTAGCAAACAAAGGTGTTCTCAGAGAATCCTGAAGGAAAAGTTTCTGGGATTAACTCCCTGAGTGCTGCCTGGAGAACACCCTGTGCTGCTCCTGCTGGGACAGTTCCTGCTTCCCAGGAGGGAAGATCCCATTTCCCTCTCCTGCTTTTCCCTTGGCTCCACAGTCCGGCTCGGGATGGGCAGTTACCAGCAGGGGGAACTCTCATTTCAGCCATTCTTGAGGAAGAGCAACAAAACAAGCAGCTCCTCTCTAATCCCTGCTCTAACTCCACTCCTGGAGTCTCTGTGAGCAGTGATCCCAGGCTGGACATCCAGGCCTGGCTCCATGTGTACCCCACTCAGTCCTGCCTGGCCAGGCAGAGCCGGGGCTTTGGGGCTGGGGCAGAGTCCCCCAGCGCTCCAACAGCTGCTTCCCTGCCCACAGCCACCCCTGCTGGGCCTGGCACACATTCCTGGCAGGATTCGGGGAGGTGAGAGGAGCCAGGCAGGAGCAGAGCAGGCAGGTGCTCCCTGGCACAAGGAACTCGCCGGTGGAGCAGCCGAGGAAGGGCAGGTTTGGTCTCAGGGCCCAGACGGGGCATCCACAGCGGGGAAAGCTCGGCAGCTGCGCCCCTTCTCCTCTCATCTGCCTGTGGTTATCTCGGGGTCATCTCCAGCTCCGGGAGCAGGTGTTGGGAAACGAGCCCAAGGGTCTGGAGAGCACAGAGGGTAAGGGAAGGTATGAAAGGTGGGTGTGATTGTGTAAGGGATGATCTTCTGGTCACAGGATAGGAAAGGTGGACGAGGAATTGCCGTTATTGCTTCGAAATCAAAGAACTGATGATTTTCTGCTCACAGCAGTAAAGATGGACGAGGAATTGTCCTTATTCCTTCGAAGCCAATGAACTGCCAGTCTCAAGGGTCCATAACTTTGGGGACAGAAAGGAAAGTTTTCCACAATGGTCCCTGTAGTCAGTGATTTGCTTTTCTGCAGGTGGGACAAGGACCCCACCCTTAATCAAATGTTGTGATCTCCCCTTTGCAACAGAAATCTGTGTAAGTTTGTTGGAAAAAAGTGATTTGTTTGAGGCCCCACTGAGGAGCTGCAGCTGGAACAGGAGCAGGAGCCACCCAAGGCCTGTCTGTCACAGCCTCTGCCCACGGGCAGCAGCAAGCTCTGCTCCAAAGGACTGTTTGCCCCCTAAAATGTGCACTTCTCTGCAGTTTGATAAATTCTAAGGTGTCCTTCCCCCCGTGTCTCTGAGGTGAGTCACGTATCACCTGTGGTCTCTGGCTGAGATCACTCTGTGACTGTTCCTCAGCAGCAGGACCCCTCACCTGATACCTGAAGAAACACCCAGCATGAAATTAATTATTTTTGCAGCCAGTCAATGTTTTAGGGAAGTGTGAGTTACATAAATCCTGGGAACCCGGGGGGGATGCAACATTTAATTGTAAACTCACCCAGTCACAGGAAGGGTGGCACAGTCCAGTGGCAGAAACAGCTCTGGAAACACTGGAATTGGGGTGTTCTGGAGCAGCAGTAGTTAAGTCCCAATATTTGCTAGAATTTGCACAAGAAAATACAAACTGGCAGTCAATATTAACCTTTAGTTGTCAGTATTTGAGTGTAATAATTAATATTTAAGTGTGGAAAGCACCGATTTAGGGAGCTCTCTCTCCCACCTGCAGGAAATAGAAGAATAACTCGTGGTTTAGTTTTGAATCCCAGAGCTGAGGAGATGAAAAAGTCTTAGTTTGTGGATACCTTAAAAACCCTTTTCCTTGACTGTTGTTACTCCCTGAAGGTCCAGACTTTTCCATTCTCCCTTTACCAAATCACTTCTCTTCATTATTCTCTATTTTTTATTTGCTGCTTGTGCTTCCCCCCCCCCTTTTTTTTTTTGGTTTGGTTTAGTTTTGTTTTGTTTCCAGCTGCTTGGGCCCCTTATGCTCCTTCAGGCTCTCCTGGTCTG